TCATAGGTGCAAAAACAGCCATAAACCATACCACACACAATCTTTGTTAGAATAAAACTTTGTTAGGATAAAACAAAGCATGACTGGATTTCAACCCTGGCCATAATTTACTGACTTTTAACTTATTTTCCATTGGGCCGACTCATATTTTTTCTGTCTCTGTATACAAGCTATGGTCAGCCAGGTATGTCTGTCTTTAGTGTCTCCATCCTGGTATGTAGAACATTTACCAAGATCCCCTGGAGTCTTGTTTCCAGATTTGCCCTTTAGATTTTTGTCTCATCTCCTGGTCCATTGCTTACACTAGGATAGCAACCTCAGACAGGTGGAACCTTGATCTTGTTACCAAAAAATGCAAACTCTTACTGACACTGCAGTGAATGTGGGAGTTTTCTGTGCTTTGCTTCATGTCAAGTCAGTTCCCTCTGTGACGGAAGCTGCTGGTTTTCATAGTTTTCCCACCTCAGTGGAACTACCTTTTCCACTAACTTAGAGTATGTGAGGGAAACAGCTCCAGGTAATAATGCCATATACTCCCACTGTTCTAACCCCCAAGTTCAATAGATTCTAGTGAATAGTGACAGAGATGGTAACATTTGAAAAAAATCTGAAGGAGATGAGGAAATTCCATGTCAGTATCTACAAGAAGAACATTCCTGGCAGAGGGGGCACTTTGAGGATATTTTATACATATCAACAATAGAAAAGGGATAATAAAGAGGCTGACATGTATCCAGTGGAGTATCCGAGGGAAGAGTGATAGGACATGAGGTGAGTGAGGTAAAACGAGAAACGAACACTTGAATAGTAAGATCAGGAAGGCTACTAATAAGAACTTTGGCTTTTCTTTTTAGTGAAATGGACTTGAAGCAGTAGTGTTGGACATAACCAGTCTTACAATTTTTAAAAATTGCCATCGTGAAATAGAAGCCACAGGTAGCAGATAGAAGACTGGTGATGCCAGTTAAAGGCTATTATCATCCTGATTACATGTGAGAGATTTTTGTGACTTAGACAGGGGTGGTAGCAGTGGAGATGAGAAGTGTTCTCATTCTCAGTGTTGTTGGGGTTTGTTGTTGTTTAGTCTTTTGAGACAGGGAATTGCAATGCGGTGCAGGCTGGCTTTGAGCTCACTTTGTAGCCCAGGCTGGTCTCAAATTTACAACTATTCTCCTGCCTCAGCCTCCCAAGTGTTGGGATTACAGGCATGTACCACCATGCCTGGCTTCTGGGTATATTTTATTTTATTTTTTATTTATTTATTTTTTTTATTTAATAGGAAAAAGAGAAAAACACAAAACAAAACAAAGCGGTGTAAGGGTACACGTAATACAGAACTACAAAAAAAAAAAATAACAGTAAGAAATCACCTGTTAGTAGATTACATATTATCATCTTGAAAATAGTTGCTCAAATCACAGTATCAAAGAATACAAGGTGGACATTCAAACAGGGAGACTGCAAACAGCTGTGTTCAATGATCCAAAAACATTGATATAGTCAGCTATTCAACACCCCTAAACACACTTGCTGTTATATCTGTTAGAGCTCTTTTTCTTTTTTTTTTTCTTTTTTTTCCCTCTCTTTTTTACAACAAAATTTACACATTTTGGATTTTATTACTCCTTAGTGCTTATTACTTTTTTGGGGGGGGGGAGAATACAGTCAAATATGGCAAAACAAAGCTGTCAGTCAAAACCAAGGATAGACATAGCAAATGGTGTAGAACAGAGTACAAGGTTATCAACAATGGTTATCAACGTTGTCTCTTGTTTCCTTAAAAAGAATTGTCTATCTCATTAGATATTATAAAGTTGGACAAAACAGTAGAGAACAAGACCAATAAAACTTAGGCATTGTAAACATTACAGGACTTCCAAAGAAGACAATAGTCAAACCAGAATGGGTATCTTAGTGAATCTTATTGCCTTCAAAGTAGTTGCCTATGCCTTCAAACTTGATACTATCATATAGAATGGAACAGAGTCTAATCGATCAAAACAAGATCGTGGGAGTATTACAGGACTTCAAAACAAGTTAATAGGAAATCAAAAAGAGTTACTATTTATATATCCTAATTTTTTAAATTTTTTCTTTAATTAAGACAAACATAAGAAATGACTAAATAATTTTTTTTAAAAGAATAAGGGGGAGATTGAGATAAAACAGGACATAACAATATAACAATAGAGGTCAAAGCATGACTGTTTCAGCAACCTAGTACTTCACCACCACATAACCCGACTTAATAGTAGTTACCATAGTGTCTGTCTTTTTCCTTGAAATATTTGGATAAAACTTCATATACTCTAGCTTCAAATATTTCCATATCAAGAAGCCCAGAATAAAGCCTTTCTAATTAATGAGTGAAAACCTTATAAGGCTTCAAGGCCACCTAATGGGGAATCATGATTACCACATATTTTTATATATTTGAATCATTACTTACATTAGGGAAACTATTCGGTATTCACACATGCGAGATTGATTTATTTCACTTATGAGTATGGTCTCAAGCTGCGCCCATTTATTGATAAATATCTCAATGTGATCCTTCTTTATAGCTGAATAATACTCCATTGTATAGAAATACCACAACTTTTTTATCCATTCCTCAGTTGATGGACACTTGGGTTGTTTCCAAGATCTGGCGATTACAAATTGTGCTGCTATAAACATAGGTGCACATATATCACTGTGGTATGATGCTTTCAGTTCTTCTGGGAATATGCCTAGAAGTGGAATAGCTGGAATAAATGGGATTTCCAGTCATAGGTATATTTTAAACATAAAACAGTTTTTCTGGTAGGTTGGAGTTGGTAGGGAGTGATAGAAGTTTCAAGGGAATTTTCATCTGTGTGTATGTGTGAATCCTTTTTATCTTTTTTATTCAGTTTTTTTATATCTGAGTCCCAATATTAATTTGAGCTATTCACCACTTTTTTGTGTTCCAGTATTATCTCCTTTAATCTCTTTTTTTTTCCTCCTGAAGGCTTTTCTTCATTCATTCTATTTTCATCAATGTTTATCCATTTCTTGCTATTTCTGACTTTTTACTGGCTGATGTTTTCAGCTTTTCTTTAATTTTACAGTCTGCTATAATTTTTTATTATGTTTATTGGTACAACTTAAATATATCTAATGATCACATTCATCAAAGAGAATTTGTGTCTGTACCTTTTATATCTTAATTCCTCCTTTTTCCCCATTGCTCTTCAGTCTCTTCAACCCTTCTTTCCCTCCTTATTTACAAAGCTTTGTTTCCATTTTATCTTTTTCTCTTTTCTTCGCTTCCTCTCCTCTCGGGTTCTCCTTTCCTTTTGAACAATTTCTTTGTATTTCACACTATCTATTATACATTTTGGTTTTTATTTATACTTTTTAGTTTTTCACATCAGAGAGACTGTGATATTTACATATGTGTCAGATTTATTTCACTTAAGAGTGTGGTCTTAAGGTCCATCTGTTTAGTTATAAATGTTCAAGTTTATCCTATTTTATGTTTGAATAGTACTTTATTGTATTAAAAAAGCACATGATTTTTATACATTCATTGGTTAATGGGCATTTGGATTGTTTCCAAGGTTAAACTGTACCTCTATAAACATGGATGTGCATGTATGAAACTTTAAATTTTGAGGGGAAGTACCAGGAAGGGAACTATCTCTAATATTTATAGTTCTAGTTTTTTGAGGACTTGCCATATTGATATCCACAGTGTACAGTCTGTTTTATATTTATTTCCTAACTTCTGAAAGTTATAATCATATCAGGCCTTTTCTACCCAGAATCCCTGGGCATGTAGCTTTAGAATGTTTAATGATACGGAGAAAACTAGGGCAAGAATGGGGATATCTTTCTGTAATCCCAGCTACTTTAGATGGTAAGGCAAGATGACTACAAATTCAAGACCATCTTGGTCCTTACCTTAAAAAAAAGAATGAGTGCCTGGCAAGTGTGAGGTTGTGAATTTGATCCTCGGTACCCGGGGATGTAGCTCAATAATAGAGCTCTTACCTAGCTTGTGTAAGGCACTGGCTTCAGTACTTAGTACCACAAAGAAAAAACCCAGCATTTGTATCTTTAGAATTTAAGAAAGCCGCCTTGAGCCAGGAATGATCTGTAATACCAGCAGTTTGGAGGCTGAGGCAGGGGGACTGTGAGCTCAAGGCCAGACATATAGTGAGTTCCAGGCCAGACTGAACTGCAAAGCAAGGCCCTGTCTTGAAAGAAAAAAACAAAAAACCTCCCCAGCAAACAAGCAGCCAGCAGTATCACATATTGATGTTTTGATTTTCCACATTAAATTTCCTTTGTACTCCCTCCACTTGGACTTCCCAAATTTTGAGAAGCCTGAGAGGCTAAATTCTAGAAGAAGAGAAAGACTCTTGATTTGGATAGAAAGATCAGATGGTAAGAAAGATGTTAGGGATAAAAATAGTATTTGTGAAGCAGAAATGGGGATGAAATATTTGAAATAGGTACAAAACAATTTGACTAAGAAAACATGCTTTCAGGGCTGGGGATTTAGCTCAATGGCATAAGCACCTGCCTTGCAAGCAGGCGGTCGTGAGTTCGATCCCCGGTACCAATAAAAAAGAAAAAGACAAAAAAAATTAAAAAAAAAAGAAAGAAAAAACATGCTTTCTAAACTGAAGGGATTAACTTTAAATTTCCTTAAGAATATAACTCTTGTCAGATATGCTGGTGCATGTCTGTATGAAATCCCAGCATTTGGGAGCCTGAGGCAGAATGATTGCCATGAGTTCCAGGCTAACCTGGGCTACATAGTGAGTTCAAGGCCAGCCTGAACGATATAGCAAGAACCTGTCTCAAACAAACAAATATAGCTCTTTTCAGCAGCTTTATTCTTTCCACAATATTTTTAAAACTAGTTTTGTATAGAAAAATTCAAAGTGAATCATGGATGTTAGAAATTTCATACATATAGTAATAGTACATGCAAAAGTGAATGTGTGTATTTGTGTTTTTCCCTCCAGGTTCTCCCAGGAAAAAGAGACATGTCTGTCTGCAATGATACTTCCTGATAAGAAGTTGACAAAAGCAAAGGAACAGAGATTAACAGCTAGTGAGCAGAATTTCAAACCACCAGGATACTACATTTGTTGCTTCCAGCTACAGATTTCTGTTACCAGCTTTTAAATCAGATATACTCTCAGAACCCAGAAAAAACAAAAGATACTTTTCTCCTATCTTTGTTTTTAGGTCAGAGAAACAGCAATGTCTAGGAAACAAAGCCAGAAGGGTAAGATTATATATGTAGGCATAAATTGATAAAAGAATAGTTGTAATGTGCCTGGAATGTAAATCTTTGCTATATATTTATTAGTATTCTATGTGTGTATGTGTGCGCGCGTGTACGCATGTGTGTGAGACAGAGTCTCACTGTGTAGTCCAGACTGACCCCAAACTCAAAGTGATTCTACTGCCTTGTCTGCTGGGATTATAGGCATGAACCACTAATCCATTTTGCTTTTCTCTTAGTACAAACTTAATGAATTGTAGTAACTTATGGAAAAGCCAAATGCAATCTGATGCTGCATTTTTGGAGAGTGAACACATGTTGGGGAGGTGTGGTTGAAAATGACTTCAGGATGTTCTGTACCCCTAGAAAAAGGAAATGAAGTATGAGTAAATGTTTCTAGTTGTGTTTTCTTCTTTAGTTTTCCTTCCAAGATTGTTACTCTTACTTCTTGTCTGAAGTATAATATGAGATACAAGGAGTCTGGAAATATCAAGAGTAGTTACAATGAGGGGAAGTTCAACAGGCTCTGTAAAATCTTTTTCAAGTTTCCTAGAACAGCTGCAAAAATTTAAAAGGACATATTTAACAATAACACCAGAACTGTTGCACATAGTAGAATATATTAAAGAATGACTAAGTATCCCGGTTTTGTCACCTTAAAATCAGTGTCCTTATAATCAAAATAAACACGTTCAGTCCAGATGTTGGATATTATATATGAGGAAATGTTTTCAATTTTGATTTGGCAATTCAAAAATTTCACTCTGCTGGGGCATGGTGGCACACCCCAGTAATCCCAGAACTTAGAGGCTAAGGCAGGGGAGTACAATGAGTTTGATGCTGGTGTGTGCTACATAGTGGTTCAAGGCCAGTCTGAACTACACAGCTAGACTCTGTTTCCAAAAGACTAAAAAACAGTCATAACAACAACAACAAAAAAAAACAAAAAATTAAGGGGAAAAAACCCCAAAACAATTTATTATAAGAAAATAATATATTGGAGATGTTTATGGTTTTGAAAACTGTAGCTTCATTGTGTACTAAATCTTCCTAAAAAAAATATGAGCTCTGAGGAATGATTTGATTGCTAAAGAAACTGAATTATTCAGTGGAATAAGATAAGCTGAAAAAAAAAATTTAAAACCAAATTTGCTTTCAGTCAGTATGGTTCAGTTTTTTTCACCCAATTATGCTTGAAACATACACTGTCTGTTTTCCTTCTTCAAGTGGGAAATACTGTGATAAAAATAAGATTCTGGACTTGAAAATCAAATAGTTTTTTTTTTTTTGAACAAAAGTATATATAGTTTTTTTCAGTAATTTTTGTTTTAAGAGAATAAAACCAAGCAATAAAAAAAAGAATAAAGCCAATCAAAACAAAATGGTATAAGTGACATAGGACTTCAAAATAAAATAATAGGAAATCAGCAGTGGCTACAATAATGCCTGTTGTCTTCAGAATAGCTGCCCAAACCTTCATTGTAAAAATTCAACAAAACAGAGCAGAATAGAACAGTAAAAACAAAACAATAAATGTAGAAAAGGACTTCAAAACAACATAACAGTAAATCCAAAATGGCTGCATGATATATTTTGTTATCTTTGACATAGCTGCCTATGCCATCAGATATAATAAAATTCAAACCAGACAAAACAGAATAAAACCCAATCAAACAAAACAATGAAAATGATACAGGACTTCAAAACAAGATAATAGGGATTAATGGTGGCTACTACGTTCAGGAGGTCCCTCATAAATGCTACATTACATATTGTTATCCTCTGAGTAGATAGAAAATAAAAGTTTAGTACTGAATTTTTCCTGAAAAAATGAACCCCAGAAGCTTCTAAAAACTAGTAATTTATTTCATGTGTATGTTTTGCCAGAATTAGGAGAAAGTATCATTGCTTTTTGTAATTGGTACCTGCTATGAATTTAAACTTCAGACCACATTTTAGGCATTAAGTGCTTACCAATTCATTGTCAAGTGTATCCTGGATTTATATGTATTTAAAAACAATGTAACAGCTTGTATATGATAGGGCTTTCTCTAAAACAAATCTGTACATATAACTGATTTGGGTATCTGATATTTGAACTAAGAAAGTAAAAAATAATAATTTTCCCACTTATTCATTTATGCATTTACATTTTCATTGCTTTGGAGTTATTTTTAGTCTGAATAATACAAAATTATACTTACATTATTACCTTAGATGCATAATACTACATTTAAGAGAGGTGCACTGGCATGGTTGTACATGCCTGTAATCTCAGCAATTGGGAGGTTGAAACAGGAGAGGAGAATTGCTGCTAGTGGAGGCCAGCCTGAGGAACATAGTGAGTTCAATGCCAGCCTGAATATGTAACAAGATCCTGACTCAAGAAAGCCAGAAAAAAAAAGAGACAGAAATAAAAGCAAATGAAGAGAGAAGTGCCGTAGACATACTAGTGCAGGCCTATGGTCTCATTACTCTTAGAGGCTTCGGTAGGAGCCCAGCCTGGACAGCTTAGTAATTAATTGAACTCGGTCTTAAAGTAAAAATATGAAGGCATAAGCTAAATTAAAATTTTCCTTTAAATGAGATTATATTCTGGATGACAGGATTGGCTGGAAGACTGTGATCCGGGTTTCTACATGCATTTCCAGAGGACAGGCCAGCTGAAAGAGTGTAAGACCAACAGGAACCCCAAAACCCAGGACAGCCACCCAGCATACAGATGCACACACATCTCTGGAGGGTAACAGTCACGCAAGGCCAGTGATGTGGATATGTCTGAGGAATCAGCAGTGAGGAGACAGCAGTTACACCTTGGAGAACTCAGTCCTAGTCCCCACATCCAGAGGCCAAGATTGTCTCCATAACCCACACATCCCTGGTATACAACACGAACATTATCACAGAACTACAAACACCAGAAGAAAGTAAGCTCTGGGAATAGCTATAAAGAACCAACTATACCTAGAAGGTATCCCTGAGGAAAGAACATCTTTCCTCCTTGAGAGAGGCCTCAGTACTAGGGGTAGAGTATATCATGGGAGATTGGTAGGCATTAAAATAGATGACAAAATAAAAGAAAAAAGAAGGTAGAGAATGGTAAGACGCAGAGGCGAAGTGTAGACCCCCACCCCACATGACAGGCGTAGAACTCAATGAGATGGATGAAGTTGGAAGTCAAACATGGGAACTCTCTCAAATGATAACAGAAGTAAAAAAACAAATGGAAAAGGCCATAAAAGGGAAAATGATCTCTCAGGTAAAAAAAGAAATGACACTTAAAGATACTAGAGAAGACAAAAAATAGATGAGCTTAGAAAAAGATGGAAACAAAAAAATGCCCAACATAGGAGAGAAGTAGAATCCATGAAACAGATAAAAAAAGAGCTCCAGGAGATTAAAACCTCCAAGGAAAGTATTTGCAACAGATTGAACAAAGGAAAGGATAGAATTTCAGATCTTGACAAGAGTTGTATCTTGTGATCATGAAAAGAAAGATATCTTAAAAATAGCAAGAGACCATGGGAAATCAATTGAACAAGACGAAGTAAAGAACAACACAAGATTGGGGTCAGTGAGAAAGCTGGAGACAGCACAAATGCCATAGCAATCATATATATATATGTACCTAGTATAGGAACATCCAGCTATATAAGACAGTTTTTGGTAGACATGGGAAAATCAGGTAAGCAGCAATATAGTTGTAATAGTAGACCTCAATAACCCATGTCAGCGAGACAGTCAACTAGACTAAAAATCAGCAAAGAAATTAAGAGCTGAACCAAACCTGTGAACAAATGGACTTGATGGAAGTCATGCCTCAAGGCCCCGTACCAGGGGCCTGGAGGAATCTAGTGGACCGGTCCCAACATGGCTGAGAGAACCCGTACCCTATTGTGCTTGAGGGAGCAGGAATTAGGGAATGGGAGCAGCCTTACTATACATAAAAAAGACAGAATTTACTCTTTTTACCTAGGGCTCTAACAACTTCCAAATTTGTTGTGTTTCTTTTAATTGATTTCCAGAATTCTGTAATTTTCAGAAATTAATCATATTCTAGCCTGTTATTATACCTTGCTTTTATTAGTAATTTTAGCACTCAGGAGGCTGAGGCGGGAGGATGACTGTGAGCTCAAGGCCACCCTGGGCTACCTGGTGAGAGCATGACCAATGTGAATTACACATCAAAACCCTGTCTGTGTGTGTGTCCCCTGCAAAAAAAAAAAGAAAATTAACCATACTCTGGAGTATAAAGCAATAGAAAACACTGGAAATCACTAAGTAGTTTTTGTTTTATTTTTTCAGTACTAGGGATTGAATCTAGGGACTTTGCACTGTGAGCTCTATCCCCAGCCCTGTTGCCATATTTTATTTTGAGATAGAATCTCACAAAGTATTTTTTTTTATAGTTTTGAAAGTTCATTTTTATTACTATATAACATTTACTTTCCTTGTATGGAGTCAATGCCTGTACATAGTGTTCCCCCACCATCTCTTGATTCCATTCCCATTTGAGAAAGATGTTTCCCTACTTGTTATTTTTATAGCTACACAATTTTTGAAAGTGAAATGTATGCCAGAGACGATGTTAAGTACTGAAGTACAATGTAGAACATATCCTTCAGAAAACTTTAGGCCATAAGGAGATACAACCAAAAAGAAAAGGAAAAAAAAAAAAAAAGAAGATGAATTCATTGTTACTTAGTGTTCTACTGCTCTGTTATATAGTGCCCCAGTTGAGTGGCCAAAGCTATAAATGTTTCTCATCTGTTAATATCTGTGAGCAAGAATTTAGGAGTAGTTTAGCTATGTAGTTGTGGCTCTGGATCACCCATCTTTTGAAATTTTTTTTTATAAATAGCCTTTTCTTTTTGGAGACAGTCTTGCTATTAATTCAGTCTGCCACTCAATTCACTGTTGTGAATTCCAGGCTGACTTCACACTTGCAGCAGTCAGTCATCGCATCAGCCTCGAGAGTGCTGGTATTACAGGCATGTGTC